GGGGACAACCACTGTTATTTCATCAACGCGTGTTTTGGAGACCAATAAAGTAGGGGAGGAGACAACGACTAAGAAAAGTAGTGAAGGAGCAGCAGTGGAAGTGTTGAGAATCATACTCTTAATAAGTTGAGTCACTAAGGTGGTTTGTATAGGTGCCACAGATACGACAACAGATGAAGAAACTGTTGAAGAGGAAGGTAGGGGTAAAATAGATGCCTCGGGGATAGGGCGAATTTCAATAGATGAGACATGTTGAGAGGACTCGCCTAGTTTAGATGGCTTCACTTGTGTGGTTTTCTTAACCCTCTTTAAAGGATTAAATGGGGATGTAAATCATGTTCTATTTCGAGAGGATGGGGAGGCAGCAACATGGGTACACTTTGGAGGCTGAACCAAAGTAGTTGCTGCTAAAGAAGAAGAAGGAAGAGAAAAAGTATGGACTATCCTCAGCATTGTGGGGAATAGACCAACGTTTGTAGGCTTGGTCTTGTGATCAAGAATCCTTGATCTAAGCCTATAGAGGGGAAGATCAGCCTGAGCGGGTTATTGTTTTTTCAGAATCATTATGATGATGACTCTCAGGAACCTTGTATAGGGGATGACCTTTTCCCTTTGACGTTTGGTCAGCTTCAGCACAAGTTCGTCGAAGATCAGCTGAGCCAAGTCAACTTTTTTGTTCCTGATGACCAAGTAGCCAATGTTCAGCACTACCCAGCTCGCTTGGTCTTGGCCACCTGTTTTCCCACCCATGCAGTGAATGAAGTAAGAGAAAAGGTATTGCCAGAATGCAGACATCCGGTTCTTCTCAATCATTGTCAGCGACTTGTTGAGTTCAAAGTTTGAGTCCTTCTTCAGCGGCCATTCATAGTGAATATCATCGAGGAATTTGACGATAGCTTCATTGTCATGGTCTTGAGCGAAGGGAGGGACCTTGGGAAGCTGCAACGCCGAACGAATGGTTACAGGTATAAATTCCATTATATGGTTGTTGATTTGATAAGAGATCTTGATGGAGAAGCTCCCAAGAAAGTCCTTGGTAGACTTTACCACAACGGTGAACCAAAACTGCTTCAATACGTCTTTTACCATGATCGGTTGAAATGTAAGAGCATATCCTAGAACACTGCTCTTTCGGAAGAGGGCAGCATCCACAAAATGTTGTTTGTCGGTGGGATTGTCAAGAAAAGCAAGGTGGTTGTTTGGCGTGAAGCTGCACTCCACGATGCTAAAGTTCACATTGGATGCACCTGCCAATTTATGGTCAAAAAGTATTTAGAAGAAAAGAAGGATGCACAACGATTTAGAATAAAGAATAGAAAGAAAGTCAATAGAAGTTTCTTTCAAAAAACGGGAAAGAAAAGTGAGTTTTCGAGTTTAGGTTTAAGAAACAAAGTTTTGTAATAAACCAAGAAGAAAGATTTTTACCACTTATATTTTTTTTTTTTTGTATTTTAAGATACAAACAAGTTTCTTATGTAGAATAAACAACCAATATATGTAACAGCGAATCTATTTTATTTGAAGTGGAAGAAGAAAAACAAGTGTGTGTTGTTGGTGTTTCTTGTGTTTTTAAGTGTGAGAGAGAGTATATGAGAATATGAGAGCTCAAAGTGTGAAATAACGAGTGAGAGAAATATATGTAGGTGAGATGAGAGAAAAAGAGGAGAGGAAAATGACGGTTCGAAAAGATTTGTCACGATTATTTCTTTGCATATCATGAGAGTTTTATTGGTTGGGGAATAGCAACGAAAAATGTGTGTCAGAAAACGCACGTGAGAAACGTTCAATTTTTGAAAATATTTTAATGACGTCATAAGGATATGACAGTTCATAAACTTTTGATCTTTTAAAACATTTTAATCACTAAATAAGGAAAGTGTTAAGTGATAGTTTTAAGATGGTTTGAGAAAGAAAGAGAATTTAGAGAAAGAAGCGTACCTTGGGAGAAAAAGATATGTTTAGATAGGAGTTCAGTGACAGATTGAGAAACACTGAATCTTTTCACATGTAGTACTGAGTAATGCTTATCTCTGAGAAATTTAATCCTTAACGTTCAACATTCCAAGTTCATCAAGGGGTTACTGTATACAGATTAGCGATTTGGTACTCAGTAGGTACAAAATGAAGTTCAATATTACCATTCATAACATAATCTCTGATAAAATGATATATGATCTCAGTTAGAATCAAGTACAGGATTGTTTGCAATAGCAATAGTAATAACACTTGTGCTATCACAATAAATAGGGATCTTTGATAGCTAAAGATCGTAGTTACTAAGTTGATTTTTCATCCAAATAATTTGCACACAACAGCTTCCTGCGGCTACAATTCAGCTTCAGCAGTTGATGTGGACATTGAGTTTTGCATTTTGCTTGTCTAGCTCACCAATTTTCTACCAAGGAGTTGACAGCCCCTAGTGGTGCTCTTCCTATCTATTTTGCATCTTGCAAAATCACCATTTGCATAACCGATTAGGTCGAATCCTGAGTCTTTGGGATACCAAAGACCCATATTAGGTGTACCATTCACATATCTGCATATTCGCTTTACAACAATCAGATGAGATTCTTTGGGTTCAACTTGATATCATGCATAAAGGCAAGTAGAGTACATGATATCAGGTCGGCTAGCTGTCAAATACAACAAGGAGCCGATCATTCTCCTATAGGTGGAAATGTTTAAAGGTGTCCCATTTAGGTCCTTGTTTAGCATTAAAGGATATGCCATGGGAGTTTTTATAGATGAGTTGTTGGTTAATTTGAATTTTTTTCAATATATCTTTAACATACTTACTTTGGTTTATGAATATTTTTTTTCAAATTGCTTAATCTGAAGACAAAGAAAATATGTTAGTTTACCCATCATACTCATTTTATACTCTTTCTTCATGCATTCAGAGAATCAAACACATAAAGAAGGATTCGTAGATCCAAATATAATGTCATCGACATATATCTGAACAAGAATGATGTGACCTTTAATTTTTCTATGAAATAGGGTTTGATCAATCTTTCCACGTTCAAATTTCTCAGAGATGAGAAATGAAGAAAGGGTGTCATACTAGGCATGAGGAGTCTATTTAACCCATAGGGGGCTTTATCTAGTCGATAGACATGATCTGGATACTTAGGGTCAAGTAACCCTGGAGGTTGTTCAACATAAACTTCCATTTGATAGACTTTAAAGACTTTATGGGCAACATAGGCTAGGAAGAGTCGAATTGCTTCGAGTCTAACCACAGGAGCAAATGTTTCATCATACTCGATGCCTTTTTCTTGTCTATATCCCTGACAACAAGTCGAGTCTTGTTACGGGTTACAATACCATGTTCATCCAACTTGTTTTGATGCACTCGTTTGGTGCCTATAACAGTTTTGTTGGATGAACAAGGGACAAGGTACCAAACTTTGTTTCTATCAAACTCAATTAGTTCTTTTTTCATAGTACTGACCCAGCTTGGGTCGCTGATAGCATCATTAATTTTTTTGGGTTCAACTATAGAAAGAAAGTTGACAAATATACAGTAGACCGTGTCGAGTCTGAATACCTTCATTTGGATCACCAAGAATTTGATTGATAGGATGATTATTTGTCCATAATTGAGCTGGTAAATGACTTGAGTTATCATCTTCTGAGATAGGTGGCTCAGGTATAGAGGATGAGGCTTCAGCGAGAGATTCTTCAACGTTCATTTGAATTGCCAAAGGAGCCTCAGGTGAAAGATGTTCAATGACTAAAGGAGATTCAGTGAATGAATAATCAGTATTTGAAGTAGAAGGTGGCAAGTGACTATTGGGGATGTCAGAGATCCCTAAAGAGGATCAACTATGTTATTGGTGATGTCGGCAAAAATATATGGATCGTCATCAGCTTTTGGTTGATCAACATTCAATTGATTGCTGAATGAAGCTTCAGGTTCTCCAATATGAGATATCATCTATTTTTCTAACTCTTCTTCATCGTTAGAGATGGGTTTAGATTGTCAAGGTATCACTGAATTCTACTTCAGATCATGATCAGACAAGTCTATTTCTTCAACTACTTCTTTGACACCGTTGAAGTTGCTTTGATATAGGTTTTGTCTTGAAGTTAAACTAAGTGCTAACTATTTACAGAACGAGTTCGAAGATCACTGAGCAGACTCAATTTGAGACAGATCGTTGAACTTGAATACATAAAACTGAACAAAGTATTTTCACTAATTATGATGGTTATCATCAAATCACTCAGAGAGTTTGGATCAATAGCTTGGTCTAACATGATCTCATATATATATATATATATATATATATATATATATATATATATAGGAGTGATCATATGAAAACCGTCCTCATTTGTGTAAACCGTGCAAACCACCTTCATCTGTCGATTTCATTGTTTAATCTTATG